CAAATTAAAATGACAATGGCTCACACCTGTCAGAATGGCTACCACCAACAAATCAACAAATGACAAGTGCTGGCGAGGATGTGGAGAAAAGGGAACCCTAGTACACTGCTGGTGGGAATGCAGACTGGTGCAGCCATTATGGAAAATAGTATGGAGTTTCCTCAAAAAATTAAATAATGGAACTGCCATTTGACCCAGTGATCCCACTTCTAGGAATATATCCTAAGAAACCCAAAACACCAATCAGGAAGAAGTATGCACCCCTATCTATGTTCATAACATCTTAATTTACGATAGCCAAGATCTGGAAACGGCCCAAGTGCCCATCAGTAGATGAGTGGATAAAAAAGCTGTGGTACATCTACACCATGGAATACTATGCAGCAATAAAAAAGAAGGATCTCTTACCCTTTGTGACAGCATGGAGGGACCTGGAGAGTACCATGTTAAGCTAAATAAGCCAGTCAGAGAAAGACAAGTATCACATGATCTCACTCATATGTGGAATCTAATGAGCAAAATAAACGGATGAACAAAATAGATTCAGAGACACAGAAGCATAGAACAGACTGCAGAATCTCAGAGCGAAGGCGGGGAAGAGTGGGTGGGTGGGAAGAGATCAACCAAAGAATTTGTATGCATATATGCATAGCCCATGGACACAGACAATAGGGTGGTGAAGGCCTGGGGGTGGGGGCCGGGGTGCTGGCTAGAAGGGGTCAATGGGGGGAAAGGAGGACATATGTAATACTTTCTACAATAAAGATTTAAAATCAATAAAAAAGAAAAACTAGATGGCTTATTCTCTCTCACCATGATTGTGGTCAGATTTTGGGGATGGGTCTATCAGGGCTTCTCCACATGGTCTAGTCCAGTGATGGCGAACCTTTTGAGCTCGGCGTGTCAGCATTTTGAAAAACCCTAACTTAACTCTGATGCCGTGTCACATATAGAAATTTTTTGATATTTGCAACCATAGTAAAACAAAGACTTATATTTTTGATATTTATTTTATATATTTAAATGCCATTTAACAAAGAAAAATCAACCAAAAAAATGAGTTCGCGTGTCACATCTGACACGTGTGTCATAGGTTCGCCATCACTGGTCTAGTCTCTCCGCGTTGACTAGTTTGGGCTTCTCTCTTGGTGGTGGCCTCAGGGCAGTCAGACTTCTTCCCTGGCAGCTTAGGCCCCTGGGGCCAGGGTTTCAAAAGAGGCAGAGGCGGCCTCACCTCCCCTGCTCTAGCCTTGGGAGTGATGCAATGCCACTCTGCCACACACTATTAGTTACAAGCAACTCAAAAACCCACCCAGATGCAAAGAGAGGGCACACAAACCCTACTTCTGAATGGGAGGGGTCTCAAGGTTAAGAAAAATATGTGGGATGGACATGAGAGCAGCCGTCTTTGGAAATCACAGTCTGACTCGCTTGATACTAACGTAAGTCCCACCTCTGGACAATCAGTGCCCATTACCATCTACCTGGGTCATGGCCTACAAGTCCCAATTCTAAATGGCAATAGTTTATTGACAAGTCGCAATTCCTTGGGATGGAAAACATGATATAGTACTCCCCCTTTTCCATGGTTTCAATGTCTGTTGTTTCAGTTACCACTGTGATAAAAAATATTAAATGGGAAATTCCAGAAATAAGGAAGTCATGCTTTAAATTGCATGCCATTCTAAACAGAATGGTGAAACATCTTGCCATTTGACTCTATCCTACATGGTACCTGAGCCATCCCTTTGTCCAGCATCTCCACACGGCGTACACTGCCCACCTGTTAGTCATTTAGTAGCTCTCTTGGTTCTCAGCTTGACTGTCAGAGTCTCGCAGTGTTTGTGTTCAAGTCACCCTTATTTTACTTAATAACAGCCCCCAAGTGCAAGGGTAGTGATGCTGGCAATTCAGGTCAAAGTGAAGCAGCAAAGTGCTTCCTTTAGGTGAAAAGATAGTATGAATGTATGTATGTATGTGTGTGTGTGAAAAAACATAGTAAATATGTTTAGGTTTTTAGGCATTCCACAGTTTTAGGCATTCACTGAGGGTCCTGGACCAGGAACTCCATGGATAAGGGGGGACGTCTATATTTTCCTTCTGTTTTTAAGTGACTGCCCCTACCTGCTATCTATGCTAATTTCCTTTTTCCTTCTGGATTAAGGCTACAGGGAGCCTTAATGACAATTTCAGCAGATTCTCATTCATTTTAAAACACAGTCTTGGATATTAGATTATCCTTTGAAATGATTGCTCCTGTTCGTAGGTGTGACAATGGTACTGTGGGTGAGAGGATGGCCTAGTTCTGAGAGGACACATGGGGACGTATTTAGGAGCCAGGACTCAGGATGACTCAGCAGATATCGACGTGTGTGTGTGTGTGTGTGTGTGTGTGTGTTTAGAGGGGGGGGGGAACAAACAACATGAGATGATAACAACTGCTGGCTCTAGGTGGACTGAACCCTGATCCCAACTTCCTAGGGGAGGGAAAGTTCTCCTCTCTTGAGAACTCTACCGTCTGGCACTCCTTTCTCCGCCGCATCCTTTTCTGAGGTGTGTGGGCTGTGACCTTGAACTTAGGCTGTGGGGTAGTTGGCCACTTTTGTCCTCAGCTTTGGCCCTGGTGGCAATTCTGGAGGTCCTGGGAAAGTCCAATTCAACATCCTATTACAGAAGGCTGAGGGCAGAGACTCCACTTGGCTCCCAGCAGCTGATGGCTGTGAGTCTCACCCAAGGGCACGCTCGGAGACCTTTGGAAATGTGTGGGGTGGTTTGTTATTGCCACAGTGACTCTGGGAGGGTTGCTTTGGGCAGCTGTTCTCTAACTTTTTGACTTCATTTCCAACTGCCCTCTCCATCCCTCATGACACCCCAGCCCTCCCGCCTGCAGTGTGTTCCCAGCGCTGGCTGTTCCCCGGCCAAGGAACACTGCTCCTCAGATACGGGCGGGACTCCTGCCCTCCAGCCAGGTCTCTGGTCAGGGCTGGGGGGCCATACATTGTGTTGATGTGGCGAGGTGACCTGCTAGGGCAGGGATGTTAACTCGATTGTCCTGGGTCTACTGACGTTTCTTTTTTATTTTTATTTTTAAATATATGTTTATTGATCTCAGAGAGGAAGGGAGGGAGAGAGAGAGACATCAAAGATGAGAATCACTGATTGGCTGCCTCCTGCATGCCCCCCGCTGGGGATCCAGGTGCCCCACCAGGAATCCAACAGTGACCTTCTGCTTCATAGGTCGATGCTCAACCACTGAGCCACGCTGGCCGGGCTCATCATTGATGTTTCTCTCTCTCCCTTCCTCTCTGAAATCAATAAAAATACACTTAGAAAAAGACCCACCAAAAAACAAACAGGCGAATATTATGAAATGTATATTATACTTCAATTAAACTATTAAATAAAATCAAGCAAAATATGGGTTGGGGACATAAATGAATGCTCTTAGGAGGTGCCCTGCCGGCACCTGCCTCACTCTATGCCCTGCCCTGGCGACACTGGGGACACCGTGGTGACTGAGACAGCCCTGCCCCTGCCCTCACAGGCCCACCTGACAGCCCAAGTGGTGGGGCCTGGATGGGGAGGCGCAGGCGGAGGGGCTGGAGCCAGGAGGGGCAACAGACAGAAGGGTCAGGGCTGCGATGGGGGAGGGAGCTGGACGAAGGAGCCGGGGCAGGAGCAGTCAGGGAGGACTTCCTAGAGGAGCGAACTTCTGCTTTAGCATCCATGGCTGGACTCCCGGCCGGAGCCGCG